GACTTGGCCAATTTTTATAGTCGATCCCCGGCATATTTTCCTTTTACAGGCAAATTTATTACTTTACGATGTTGGCAGGATTACGACCAAAGGAGTTGTCAATAACCATGGTCGCGGGCCATTCGCCAGCTGACAGCTGACATAGAATCTACCTAAGTACATATATCACGATTTTGGGGAGTTTACGGGTGGGATCGTAAAAGTATTGCGCCGCCTGGCAACTCTATTGTGCAAAGTGATCCCTCGCAGCTTGAGCGTAAATCCCGTGTTGAGCAATAATCTCTTTGGCGATCGCAATCCATCATCCATCATCCACAAGCTCTGCAGCACTGATCATGTCAGCTCTTGTAAATTGAATAAATGCTAGTGCCCATGGTTGACAAACTAAAATCATGGGGTTCGTTCAAATTCTGGACTGATGAGCACATCACCCGGCTTAATAACGATCACTTGGGCTCCGGCTCCTTTGAATGCCGCAAATTTGGCAAACATTTTCCCACGAAAACCCAAATAAACACGATGAGCTGGTAGAATGCAATGCAGAAAGCCAGAGGAGAGAAGAAACCTCAGAACCATTCGACATATGTGGATCAATCGTCTGGGAGAAACGTGCAGACCGAGTCTGCTGCTTCTGCAGAAACTGAGCATTGAAATTCTATAACGAAGAAACCTGGCAGAAATCAAAGTTCAATATCAGCCCCAAACAGCAACACCGGTGCTGTGGCTTCTCTTCCCTTTTTTTCTCTTCGTCTTCCCGGCCAAAGGGATCAAGGTAAACGCCATTTAGTGTGGCACGATCGCTGCTGATCGGTAGCCGGCTTTCGTATCTGTATCTTTCAGTCCACCGTTTTGGGGCTTCCCGGGCAACGATCCTCGCTCGGTGCGTCGTTGTTCCCAACGCACGATTTACACATTAAAACACTTTAATTTTTATTGTACAGCCGGTCGGTTGGGAGAGCTTCGATCTGTCGACCATTGACGATCTACTTCCCTCTTTTTTAATCAATTCTGAGGGGACCGGAGACGGAGACCTTTCTCAACCTCAAATTAGTGACTTTGGGAGTACGTATTTTTAGCTGTGAGAACTGCAGTTATTACTTGGGGTGTGCTAGCAGCTACGCCCCCTCCCCCACACCTCCCCCCCACATATTTCAGACAGACGTGCACCAAAAATAATGAGCATGAAAAATATGAAACGGTAGCAAATGTGTGAACGAACTGATCCAAACGGAACTAAGCCCAAGTGGATTCCGTGGACTGGGGATGGGGCGAAGGAATAGAACGCCTCCTTCGGACAAGATATATGTGGATTTAAATGAATTCCTTGTTGATTTTTATGGCGCTTAGCCGCGAGGGGAAATCCTGAGTGAAGTGTGCGGTCTGCGGGGCATTAGAAGTCGTGACGGGCCGCCCAACTATTTGATTGTTTTTTCCTTCTGTGAGAGATTTTATTTTTATGAATTTGATAAATGGCCAGCCAGGAGTCGGGCTAATAACTGGAAAGTTCTTTCTGACAGACTCGAAAAGGGGAAAAACTATTTCCCAACCAAAAAAGCAGCTATAAGTTATACGCATTCAAAAAAGGGGAATTGTCACACTTTAGGTGGTTGCATTTCTATTTTTTAACGTCTTATATTTGGTTACGCCATAACTCGAACTTTTTATCACAAGGTATGTACATATAAGCTAAAAGAGGTATGTTGTAAATTGAAATAATAATGTATTAATTAACTCGTTTATTTAATAACTTTAACATTCAGTTTAGTAGTAGTTATAGAACTTTAAATATTATCTTAAAAGTAAGTCAGTTTAAGTTTATGGAAGCGCATAAATGGATTTGTTTTTTTTTATTTTAATCAATATTCACTACTGCTACAAGAAATGGTTATATTTTTAAGCACTTAACGCTACTGCATAGCTAATTCTGAACTCACGATTTTGTACTACTTTTGTAGCCATGCCGTGAGTAAATTAAAAAACTAATTAAATCACGAGAAGATAACTCCCATTTTAGAGATTTTAACTTTTATTAGTTTTTATAATATTGTTTATTTATTTTAAAATTTTTCATTTTTTTGTTTTACCAATTATCATTTAACTATTTTCATGAGGCACATATATATGTATGACTTATATATGTTGGATAGTTATGAAATGTGCCAAAGAACTGCCGATTCGAGATCATTGATCCCATTGATTGGTGACCCATGCCAGCTGATGTAACGGTCACTTGGAAGATCAGCTGCTCCTAAGCCAACATTTGCACTAAACTGTCTTTGGCTCTCGTGCCAAAGACTGCTAAAGATTGCTACAGCTGCCGACCCCATCATCCCGACTGCATCCCCCGTCACTTTGGGATTCTTTGGGCTATGACAACAATGGATTACGGCCCGGACAATGGTCGGCGCTAAGGAAAACTGACTTTCCAGGGGACGAGCGGGGTTTTCCTTTGGCTTCTAGCGGGCCCTAATTGCTGCCAAACATCTTACATAACAGCGAAGGAGATGCGTCTCCGAATGGATTTCGTATGGAGTGTGCCTGATGCGAAACAGCTGCTGAGGATCACAAAAAGTACGAAGACGAGGAAGGGTTGCGGGCAGCTTAAGTGGGATTTGTTTATTGTAAAGATTTGCGGTTGCAGTTACGGCGGCACTTTTCTAGCCCTATAACATCTGTCATAAAAAACGTCCCAGTTTGGAAAACCTCAATCAAAAACAATATTTGCTGAAGATTTATATTTTCGGAATTTTAGAGAGTTTTGGAATTTTACTACAATTGTAATAGTTTATTCCAGGGACCGTTTTAGGTGATATAATAAAATCACAATAAAATAATTATTTTTTGAGCGAAAAAAAATGTACCCAAGCAATAATAATTGTATGGTTCTTCTTGATTCGTTTAATAAGCTAACAAAACAATCTCTTTCAACACGTCTGCACAAAAAAAAAGTGGGGTTTCGACTTTGAGCAAAACTTTTGATATTTAATTTTTTCGCTCAAAACAATAACAATTATTTTGCGAACGATTAAATTGTACTAAAAATACAATTATTTAATTTCGATTACATCAATAGTTATTATTTACGGTTCCTGGTTTATACAATTAGTATTAGTATTGGACTAGTTAAAACTACTCCCTTATTATATTTTTAACTAAAATTTCAAGTTACTCTGGAATTTGGATTTGGTTCTGGCCAGAAATACCGATACCACTGAAAATAAATTGGAAAGTCATTCTCTTAATTAATATGATTGTATTGAACTGATTGCTAAACAATGGTCAAGAACAAATACAAAATTCCTATCATAGTTCGGACTTAAGTATTATTGTATAGTTGAAGTATTATACATATATACAAGTAAGGTAAATTTGTTTTTAAAAGTATCTTTAAAAACTTTATTTTAAAAACTATTCAATTGAAATTTAAACAATTTACATATATCTGCCCCAATTGTACACATTAAAATCAATTGACAACCAAATTAGTGGGAATAAACATAGGGGAGTAGGAACCCAATAAGTTCTTCAGAATTCCCTTACCTTACCTTCCCATTTTCCCTCGACGTCAACAACTGTAAATCTTCCAATAAGTACAGTCATCCCCTAAGGTAAAAATCGAGCCACCGCGAGTCATATCAATTCATAAATGCATAATAATTCCGACAGAGGCTAAAATTAAAAGCAGGAGTCGCCGTGGAATAATGTGAGAAAAAAACTTTCTCACGATCACCTTGATGTCGCGTTTATTTGAAATCCACGTGCAAAAGGGGGAAGTTCGGAAGGAAGGAAGGAAGGAACCCACCACCTCAGCACCAGTATTGCCACCACCGAAGGAGGCGGAGTAGGACGCAGGACCCTCTGATGGTGGTGGTTAGTCCCTCCCCCTCCCCCTCCACTTTTGACGATCGCCAGAAGTGCATGAGAATTTAAATTACAAACAAACAGAGAGAGTGTGTATCGGCATGCCATAAAGAGGAGAGGGATGGGGGTAGGAGAGGGAGGGTGCCAGGACGAGGCGTGTGTGGGAACTTTTGACGAGGACACTCGACCATGAAGCGGGTCACCCGACAGAGGGCAATTATTATCCAGCGCAGCTCCTTTTTTATAGCAATTCCCACACGCCCACGAGAGGCGTTAGCTTGATAACCGCTCTCCGAGGAGAATCAACCGATGTTATGGGAAGCGAGAGTTTGCGAGAGACGCGAAAGTCACTTTCTCACAGCCGTAAGAACAAAAACCACGCGAAACAGCATCATATTTTAAGCTACTCTCTTCGATTGTCTTCGAGAGAGATAAGCTGCTCTCACGTTATGCGCAACATTGCAACAAAACAAGACTTAAAAGGGAACAGAAACCACAAGAAACAAGAACGTATAGCAAAAAAGTGGCCAAACAAAAAGGGATGGAACTCTACTATTTAAAATGCTCTTAATTAAGTTATAAAGGCATTTTGAAATCTGAAAAACAATTTCATATCTAGCGAAAATTAAAAAAAAAAGTAATTGCAAATTAAAAGGTGTGTTTTATTAAAATGCAATACAATTAAAATATTAAGAAATATTTTTTTATACCATAAAAAAAGATAACGCACAAGGTTCCCCTTGTCTCCACCCCTGACCGAAGGAAAATTCAAAGTCATCCCGAACAATAATTTCTTCCTGTGCAACAGCAGGCGATTGTAATGCGATCCGTGGCCACTCAAGAGCAGTCATTCAGGCCAGAAATCTGGAATCCCAAGTGCGGGGACACATGAATGCATTCTTTCGTCTATTTTTAAGCATAACATTCCGTTCTAAATGATAAGGCTACGAAAAACAGTCCTCTTTTGCCCGCATCCATGTGCATGTGCATTGCTACTTCTATGTGTATGTGTGTTAGTGTGTGGGTATTACTCATGCGCTCTCGTTTGAAGCGTCGTTTGGTATTATTCCGGCTCCCTTTCGGTATTTTCTATGGTCATACTGCGCGCGGAGCTGGGCGTTGTTGTTGCCGCTGAGAGCGGAGCAGAAGTATTTTTCGCGTTGCCGCCGACGGTCCTACTGACACAGAAAAATGCAAAAAAAGTAAGAGCGAGAAAGAGCTGGTGTAGGCGTGACAAAAGCGGTGCAAAAAGCAACGGTTCCGTGCAAGAAAACTTGAGTTAATACAGTGAAGCTAACGTAAGAACGAACTTTGCGAGCAAAGCAGGCGAATTTGGCGCTATTCCAATGAATAGTCCTCGCTCGAACGGCGGCAGCGGTGGCGGCGCAATCTCCGCTCTGCCCAGCACCCTGGCCCAACTGGCGCTGCGCGACAAGCAGCAGGCAGCGTCGGCATCGGCGTCCGCGTCGGCGTCGGCGTCCTCTGCCACCAACGGCAGCGGCAGCGAGTCCTTGGTGGGCGGCGGCGGTGGCGGTCGTCCGCCCAATCAGCCGCCCAGTGTGCCAGTGACCGCCGGCAAGCTGGACGGAGGCGCCTCCAACGGCGATTCGAACAAACTCACCCACGATCTGCAGGAGAAGGAGCACCAGCAGCTGCAGGAAGCCACAGAAGCCTCCGCTGCCGGTGCGCCAGAAGCCCATGGAGATCGCCGGCTATGTGGGATTCGCCAATCTGCCCAATCAGGTCTACCGCAAGGCCGTCAAACGGGGCTTCGAGTTCACCCTGATGGTGGTGGGCGCCAGTGGACTGGGCAAGTCGACGCTGATCAACTCCATGTTCCTGTCGGACATCTACAACGCCGAACAGTATCCGGGTCCCTCGCTGCGTAAGAAGAAAACCGTGGCCGTGGAGGCCACCAAGGTAATGCTCAAAGAAAATGGCGTGAATCTCACGCTCACCGTGGTGGACACGCCCGGATTCGGGGATGCCGTGGACAACAGCAACTGCTGGGTGCCCATCCTGGAGTACGTGGACAGCAAGTACGAGGAGTACCTGACAGCCGAATCGCGGGTGTACCGCAAGACCATCTCGGACAGCCGGGTGCACTGCTGCCTGTACTTCATAGCGCCATCGGGACACGGACTCCTGCCGCTGGACATTGCCTGCATGCAGAGCCTGTCGGACAAGGTGAATCTGGTGCCGGTGATCGCCAAGGCGGACACCATGACCCCCGACGAGGTGCACCTGTTCAAGAAGCAGATCCTCAATGAGATTGCCCAGCACAAGATCAAGATCTACGACTTCCCTGCCACGCTGGAGGATGCGGCCGAGGAGGCCAAGACCACACAGAATCTGCGCAGCCGAGTGCCATTTGCGGTGGTGGGTGCCAACACCATCATCGAGCAGGACGGAAAGAAGGTTCGGGGCCGGCGTTATCCCTGGGGCCTCGTCGAGGTGGAGAATCTGACGCACTGCGACTTTATTGCGCTGCGCAACATGGTCATACGCACGCACCTGCAGGACCTTAAGGACGTGACGAACAACGTCCACTACGAAAACTATCGCTGCCGGAAGCTATCCGAACTGGGACTGGTCGACGGAAAGGCCAGGCTGTCCAACAAGAACCCCCTCACCCAGATGGAAGAGGAGAAGCGGGAGCACGAGCAGAAGATGAAGAAGATGGAGGCCGAGATGGAGCAGGTGTTTGACATGAAGGTCAAGGAGAAGATGCAGAAGCTCAGGGACTCGGAGCTGGAGCTGGCACGGCGCCACGAGGAGCGCAAGAAGGCGCTGGAGCTGCAGATCCGGGAGCTGGAGGAGAAGAGGCGCGAGTTCGAGCGCGAGAAGAAGGAGTGGGAGGATGTCAACCACGTGACGCTCGAGGAGCTCAAGCGACGCAGCCTGGGGGCCAACAGCAGCACGGACAATGTGGATGGCAAGAAGGAGAAGAAAAAGAAGGGTCTGTTCTAAGTCAACCCGCTCAAATAACCCCTCTATCCCTGCCCCCCTTCCGATATACTTAAGCGCTAATCTCGAGAACAAAACAAACGAAAGCAAACCCCTAGCGTATCCTACATATATACCTACCACATAAAGTAATTTGAAAAGTGCATAAATATATCTATTGTTGGGCCACCAGCCGCCCCACAAGGCTTCTATTCGCACAGCAATCGTCCCGCGATGGCGTTGCATTTGTTTTCTACATTACTATACGAGTACATATAACACATAGCAGTTGCAGTATTTTACCAATATATATCCACACGCATTACTTGACGAGACACATTTGCTAGCCTAATGAATTGATTGAACACGCAAACGAATTAAACCGAAACAGTAACAAAACGGTATTTACAAAATACTTAAATATCTTAAAGCTTAAACAAAACAAAAAAAAAAAAGGAAAACCTAAGCAAAAAGAACGAGTACGGGGCGAAATCGATCCTAAAATTAATTATAACGAACCCATGTATAACGTATGCTATTGATATTGTAATTGTATTTTACCTATTATGCATAAAGTCATAAAACACCCAAACAACACACACCAGCAAAAGCAAAAAGCGGCAACAGCAGCAGAAACCAACAAGAAACAAAATATACTCTTGCATTTTATAAAATAAAGTCTTCTCTTTAGTTTAACTACATAAAAAACCGAAAAGAATTCCATATTGACTTTATTGTTTACTCAACTGCAGCGGATAGATGCGATCGAACAGGGTGCTCCACCGATCTCTATTGGCACACGTCTGGGAATTAACGGCGTGACGCTAAGTTTTGAAATATTCGGATTGTCCGAATGAAGCAACAAAACATTCTCCAACCGCTGACTAATTTTTTTGTTACACATAAAAGAGGTGAGGGTAAATATGGATGAGTCATGTTTAAAGGAGCATTGGATTGTGAACGTGGCTTGAGTCAAGCGGATAGTTAAATCAGTCGCCGCAAACAATTAAAAGTGTTTACTCTGTCCATTGTTAGATGCTTATTGGACCACTGAATAATCTTGTGGGGGCTTTAAAGTACAGTGGGTGCCATTGAATAATTATCATGCTTTTCATTTTTAAGAGTTATGTGGTTCTTTGCCATATGCGACTCAAGCAATACCGAAAACTCCGACACTCCCTATATGTCAATACATGCATACAATCTTTCAAATTATGTATTCACAATCGCGGTCAAAGCAATAGCTGTGAAAATCTAAGAGGTGTACATATTTGATTTCAAGAACTTTCCATGATATTTTTTAAAAAGAAAAATATATTTTGACTTCATATTTAGTTATACTTAAAAATGAATTTGGTAATAAGATGGTAATAATGATAACATGGCAAGATTTACTTTGCGAAAATTAAGATAACGTCAGATAAGATAAAAAGGTTTGCAAAAAGTAAATATTGGATATAGTCATGTCATTAAAGAGTTGCAAAACGATTATTGTTCAGACATACATTAATGACTATATCCACAAAAATGTCTACTTAGTTTATCTGATAGATACTAATTTAAATATGTTTTTATTTCCTTATAGCAAATATTTGAAACACCTTCTTCTGTGCATGAAAGTATTGCATTTTGATGGTTCTCCACTTGAAATTGCTTTCTAAATGCCCAGACACAAGCTTTATAGAGAGACATGTGTGCATGGATATTTAATTTATGCACAAAAAATTAATCCATAACCCAATTGGAAGGCACTCAATTAGAGCCGTATAAAGCGTAAAATGAAAATCCATTGGTGAAAGACATCGAACAAACTTGGAGCGAGAGTGGGCGGAGGGAGGGGCCGATCAGAGGGGGGGTGGTGGGCGGCAGGGGTGGTGGCCATCAAGATATGCTTGTGCGTGTGTGTGTGTGTGTGCCAACGCTGCCTGTACGAGTGCTCGAGTATGTAAGTCAACAACGTTGACGCAGCACTTAACTCAACTCGAAGCAATTGGCTTTGGCGATCAATGAACGCAACACCGGAGAAGAAGAAGCTCCAGCGAGAGAGGAATGCACTTAACGAAATGTATTTAAATATATTTATTTTGAGCTATTACAAGAACACCGTTTTCTTTTATATTTTTAAATATCTCTAAAATATATTGGTAGTTAAGTATAATGATAATGATTTAATTGGATACACTTGGATAATTTAATTAGTTTCCATTAACTATTTTTTGATATTTAAATACTATTTTTTAGATTTATCAAAGATTACATTAATGTATGAAATCTTAAAATAAGAGAATTCGCCTTGACTAAACATGATATCCTAGGGAGGGAGTGTAATTTATCAGCGGAGTTTGATCCCGTTTTTTTTAGTGTAGTGAAGTGGAGTTTGTTTCGCTGCTGTGTTGTTTTTAGGACGATGACTCAAGTACATAACACGGGGGAGAGAGTGAGAGGCAGAGGGGTAATGTACTATATGTGTGGGGAGCTTATCGGGAGCTGGAATGAGAGCACAACAGTCTCGCTTGTTTTCGCCTGTGGATGGGCTTGATGTGGCGTCCATCTGGTGAGAGTGTGTGTGTTCGTATACGGAACACCCTGTTACTGCGTTTGCTACGCTTCTTGACGGCATTCCTTCACGTCAAACGCGAAAAAAAACACAAACCATCAAATGGACAAACGCTTAAGATTAAAAACAAATGTTGACCGCTTCCAACGAGCCGGCACTCCACGAAAAGAGAGGGAGAAAGATAGGAAAAGAAAGAGCCCCCTCCCCCACACACTCACATCAGATTGACACACTTACGTGACTGCCAGAGAGAAATACACAGAGAGCTGCGCTTGCGCCTCGCTCTTAAACATGCGGTATTCATAGGTGGGTATGATCAACCAAGGTTTAATACGAAATATGTATTTAAAAAATCCCATTTATTAAAAAATAAATGATTATTACTTTATCAATAGAATGTTAAATCCTTCTGCAAGTAGGTGTGTTCTGCATTTAATTTATAAGACATTTTTTGTTGTAGATTTAACTCTGTTTTATATAATATAATACTCATTGAATTTAAATATATAATGTAGCTTGGATAATTTTCTGAATTCATTTACATTTCTACCCAAATATAAAAAGCATCCAAATATCATATCACATTACCTATGTTCTAAGATTTTTGTTTCAAGTTCTTTAACATTATAAAACGTATAACTTTTAATATGTTTTCGAAAGTGTTCTGATTTGGATAATTACAAATTTGGTTTCATTTTGTTTTAAATGTTTTACTTAATTTTAAAGATACTGGGCATTTTGTAGTCTGTTCAACAGAATACAAGCTTCATTATGTTTTTATTTGAGATTTCCGTTTTACAGTTTCAAATTGCCTATTTACGAGTTCTGACATTTGACAAGGCAATGGGAAGTGATTTTAATAGTCTGGTTGGTACATTGGTTTGTTTGTTTGTTTGATTTTCTCCCATTTCCCCCGCATCGTCTCAATGTCACGCTGATAATAGCGCGTTTTTCCGGTTTGTTTGCCTCAGCCTTATGATTGCTCATATGTACATATGTATATTTATTTCTTACTTGTTTACAATGCAAATAAATTGGGATCGTGCGGGCAGCGATCGAGAAGTTCTATCAGTTTTATGCAACACTTGTGGGAACGCAACATTGTGGCGTTGATAAAAACGCATAGTCCATAAAACCAGCGCGGCTGAAGACCAACAAACACTTGTTAAAATTGACACTCAAAGATATTTGTTTTGGAGGTCAATAACAGTCTTTTATACAGTGTGACATCGAGTAAGTTTATTTTTTAAGTTTTTTTTTCTTTATTGCCACAACTTGGATGTTGAAAATTTTTTCAATAATTTGTTCTTGATTTAAGAACTTAACAAAATAAATTATATACCTAATTCCTTAATATAAAACAGTCGATCTGAACCAGCGTTTAATTTGTTAATTACCAAAATTTTATAATATTTTAAATTTAACAAAGAAGAACTGTTCGTTAAATGACCTGGAAGTGGACATGGTCGGGAGATCTGCGTGTAGTCCTATATCCTTATCCCGATCGGAAGTGATTCTCCTCCACATCCGTTTAGTCTACCTTTCTCTCTATATCGATCCCATAGCGGTAAAATTTAATTCACCATCTACAACTTCCTCACCCACAATCTTGGTGCCTTTTTTTTTTATTCCTCTTTGTCCCTGTTTTGATTTCCGTATCGCTTGCGCTTGAAGCGTGCACAACATCCGCTCCTTATTTCTCTTTTCTTTTCCGCAAATCTTTCGTTTCGCTTTTGTTGAGCATTTTACAGTTGGAATATTTCCATTGTACCGACATCCTGGGAATCGCAGCTATTAACAGGTGATCCCGCTATCTGGCAAATCATTTGCGAAGGTGTGAAAATATTTTCTGGATTCAGAGAGTTTTGGGGGTGGATTTGAACCCATTGTTCATATTGTTTTTCTTCCAAGTGTGGGAAGTACCTTAATTCCCAAATTTTTAATTAAATTGTATAAATAAAATTGACAATAAATATTAAATTTATAAGATTAAGGAGGGACTGTAGGAATGCTTATTTGTGCCATGCAGCAAACCAATTGAAATAATTTTGTAGAATATTTAATTATATACATTATTTTCACTTTTAGATGTGTGACACAGTTAAGAATATGCGTTTAAGTTCCCCTACCTAACATACAGATTTTTGAGCAGACTATGACTTTTTTTTTATTTTTGAACAGGCATTTATCCCACAATCTGTCAGGACACTTGACACATGGTCTCAAGAACACTAACCGCACAATTATGCCTCTTAAACGCTCGCTCTCAACAATGCAAACCAACAAAGGACCAAGAAAAAAAAAAATCAAAACTGAAAGGGCTATTTCGGGTATAATTTCATGTAATTGGGGACAGTTGGCAAAGAGCAGATTTGTGGTCGGCCATCCTGACCCTGGGAACAGATTTCATTGGGCATTGACAGTTGCCCCAGTCGGTTATGCAAACTCAATTTGGGTGACTCAGGGTTCCTGGGGTCGCGAGGGAGAGGGCGGTTGGCATGATGGCGTCTGTTCATATGGTGGCAGTTCGTCAAGTGACCTGAATGTAGGTTAGGTGGATGCGATGCTGCTGCTGCTGCTGCTGCTACTACTGCGACGGAATTGCAGAGGTGGCACGAAAGGGGGGCTTCTGTTTATTGACTCAATTCACATATTCTTTGGAAAACTCAAAATAAAATTTAAGAAACTGTGCTAAACACAACGATAATATTTCATATTAAATATATTTTTTTATAATATTTCTTTGTACTTCTTTAAAATTAAATTTTTAATTTATGGCATTTTAAAACAAATTTGTTAAGCATATAATAATTTAAGTTTATAATATTGCTTTAACGTAATACAGAGATAAAGTCAACAATTTATCTCAAATTTTTATCAGAATTTTATATGTGTCAGCAACCTTGCATCCACATCAGAACCTATACACACTATGATTCATTTTAGGTACTTTTAAGACGTAAAAAATAGTGGTTGACTTTATCAATAGATAGTTAAAACCTTTTGCGATAAGCGCCAGGTATGTGTTTTTTGCAGTTAATTGAACATTGCGATCGGCATTTTGAAAGTTGTTTGAAAGACAAATTTGTATACTAACATACAAAGCATATATTTTCGTTTATGAATTAAAACCAAGTTTTTGTTGAATTATAATGCAATAACAAAAGCACAAAATTTTGGATTGAGAAAAGTTGTTAAAAAATAATTTTAAATTAATTATTTATAGAATTTGCAGCAGCCCTATCTTTTGAAATTTGTTGACCTTGGTTGTTCTGGATATCCCTTCTCTTGGGCGCCACTGCTGCTGCTGGTGGACGGCCTTTTGTGATGCATCTTGGCTTGTGCCACCCTTTTCTTTTTTGTGAGCCAGCCTGGTCCATTGAATGTCTCCGCATGCTGAGTGCTGTTCATCCTCTATACATGTCGGATGGATTGTTGGAGACCCCTCCCGAGTCCCCCTTTCCAGGAACACCATTCTACTTATCAGAATCCATTCAATGCTCATAATTGATGTTCAAATTGCTGGTGAATGATGCAAGCGCTGCTGAGGAAGAAGCACTTGCCACAGATTTGTGTTGTGCTGGTCTCGATTGTGACACATTGGTTCTGGGGCATTATTGTTATTATTCTTATTGTGAATCGGACAGATGATGGTTTTGTGGAGCCACATCAAATTGATTTAATTAAGCTGAATTAGACAGGCGGAAATGAGGGGAGTGAGATGTGTTGCAGAGTTTTGGGAACGTGGCACACGTGCCAGGAAGTTATCAGCTGCCGAGGTGCCGGGAAATACGTTACATTCGGTAATTTCTCGACTCAACAATGTGCGCAGCCAACGAAATTATTGAGCCACGCGGCAAAGGAGCAAAGGATCCAGCACAAAAGAGGGACCCCTCTTTGCTGGCAGGACCCTCAATGAGTCCTGCAATGAGCTCTCTCTTCGGGGGTTGCAGTTGCACATTGAGCAGCAACGTCGTCCTGTTTGGGTAATTGTTATCTGCGATCCCGAAATGAACGTTACTTTGAGCCATAGGCCCGGTGTTCTTTTCCTGGCACGCGCCAAACTCTCCCCCACTCCGTTCTACTTTCAACAGCTGGTCTTCCTTTTTTACCAAGTCCTGCAGGACATTATGTCGGTATTGAAGTGGCAGCAGAGATTCTTTTTTTAGCTAATCCCTGGAAACTGTGAGATAGGTCGCATTTCTAGGTCTCAAATCTGTCAGAATCTGTCACTATGTTTTTGGAAGTGTCCTAAATGTTCGTTTTAAATCAAAATAGGGGCTCTGTAGAGTTTTTTTAAAATGAAAGTTGACAATTGGTTTGCTACCTTTTTTTTTTCAACGGTTGTAATCCCTAAAAATTCAATTTTCAATATTTAAATTGAAATTCATCATAAACGTTTTTTCGTTTTCATGGTAAGGTTAAATTGTGTGTGTCTTATGAAGCAAAGTTCCATGCGTTTTCCCAGTTTAAAAACCTATTTTTATTATTTTAATTCAGGATATTTTATTCACAGTGCAGCCGATAAATAAAAATCAATTTCGTTCAATTGTATCAATAATCCAAGGTGAATAGTGATAAACATCAGTGTATATGCCATAACTTGCGTCGCCATGTCCTGAGCTAAATATTCCGAATTGAGCCCACATTTGGGTGCCATCGAAATCAACCTGTGCTCCCAATGGACTTCCGGGGTCCGCGGTGTGTTCAGAAATCTCGGGGTTATTGCAGCAAAATCGTTCTTCTTGGTTGCGACACCAATATTCGGTCTTTCCGATGTCACTTCTAACGACTGGAACAATTTCGAGAGTCGCTTTTATTTGTTGAATATCGCCTTCAACTCGACGCCATCCAATTAAAGAAAAGCTCTGAATAAAGTTAATCGGGCTATCAAACCCTGGGTTCAAAATAATACAGATCGGCCTGATTTCCGCTGCAAAAAACCTTACTTAGCAAGACTGTACGAGTTAAAGTAATTAAATAGGAAAAGTACCTTGGTCTTTTAAAGATCGATCCAGTTTAAGTAAAGCAATGTCGTTGGCCATAATGGTTTCGTATTTTGGATGACGAAAAACAGCCATGACTGGCATATCATCTTTTCCATTTCGTGGCATCGATTGATTGTGTCCCAATCTAACATATCTGTAACAATAATTCGAATTTTATACAGATACACAAAAACAGGGTCTGGAATTTTGTTACTTACAAGTTTTCGGTTATTTCTGCACAATGACCCGACGTAAGCACAAAGCCTAAAATAGTAATTAGAAAAATAATAATAATTAAATACAATAAATAGTAAAAAGTTTGGATTCCGAAATCAGAAATTAAGTTTATAAAAATATAATGCAAAACGAATAATGCTAAACATTAAAATAAATACGACTTTTAACCAAATACGAACGATATGTAATAAGTGATCCTGAGCATGTGTAAGCCCCTTGGCGAACTAAGTATGCAATCCATTGAGCTGAATCAACATTTTGGCCTTCGTTGGTAACCCCCTTAGGCGAAATGCATCCTGGTTCCAGCAACTGAACCGATCCTCGTGTCTCTAGGACTAAGAATGCGGACAAAACCACTAGAAAAATCGTGAGCGTCATCTTAAGTGAAACGAAAGAAACGAACTGTTTGAATTTAAAATTTACTCATTAAATAACCCATAATTGATAAGCAGAAGCATTGGCGATAAGCCAAGCCAAAATTTAGCAAACTTTTGGAATTCTTAGAAAACCAAAGTAGGAACTGTGAACATGAAAAATATTATCGCTTAAAAATGGTAATATTAATCACAACCAATTGATCTTAGACCTCGATGTCAAAAGATTTTCTTTTTCTGAATTATTTATTTATTCTGTCCGAAACATATTAAAACTAAATTGGTGATAACTTAACAAAAAATGAAGTACAAATTTTCAAGTTCTCAAAGAGCATTCGCTTATAATTCCACTTATTAATGTATTTTATTTTTTATATTAACTCCCTAGGGAGTGTTAGTGTGATGAAAGTTATCAAAAAAACGTTGTGTTATAAAGATTTATAACCAACTATGACCTCAAGTTTTTCATTTCGATTTATGTATAATAATTAACAATACTAATCTGGCTGGGGCCAGATTTATAAAACTCATTTCATTAATACTACTCATACTCAAAAACTCTGCCCGAAACTCACTCACTCAAGGCTCAACTCAAAGACTCAATACCGAGCTCAGCTCACATTCTAGCTAAGGATACGGGGCGTGAAATGTCTCAGCCTCGGAATTCCGGCTAACTCAGCAGCAGAGCACAGTTCTCTAACCATTTTCATGGTTGCCAGCAAATTATCTATTCGGGGTTTTCTGGGCTCTGGGTTTTGGCAGAAAACCGAGCATCGCTGACCACAGCAAGTGTCGCCGATATGGCCAAAAGGAAACTCCCCGGAAGAGAATGATGAATAGAAGATGGAGGAGGAGGAGGAGGAGGAGGAAATCGGGATCCTTGGCCACTCATAAACACTTTATGCATGCCACCGTGGGGGTGCTCGGTTCACAATTTTTGCAGTTTTCGCTGTGAATGTGCAAAAGTGTCTATAAAACCATAACGCGTTTTCCTGGAAAAGCGGGGAAAATCAGGTAACGCCCTCGACTGACTCTGGCTGTGCCTGTGTTGTGACAATCTCCTTTTCTTTGAGAGATTTTTGTAGGTGAACCATAAAGCGATTATGATTGGGAAATATAGTTCTATTTTTTCTCGACCTTTTGGGCGAAAAGTAAAAACTAATTAGGGTTTTTGTTAGAAGAACTTCGTTCTACATAAATAAACCATTAATTTAACATATCGCTCAGCCAGAACGAATCGAAGCGAAGCCAGTTTGCCTGAGGTCAGATACGACAGGGAATCGCCTGGATCGCATGGCAACTCGTGACCAGGTGTGCGCCAAGTCGTGTGACGACATCGCATCGCACAACCAATATAATATATCTGCGCATACCTTTTTTTATGCATATGTTATATAGACTTACGTACACACCACCCCGCCGTCTGGAAACCTCCTTAAAAAATCGAGCAAAAGTTTGCTGCGCATGCGCAGCTCAAAGTCTCCACCCCTTGGTTACTTGGCTTTGTTTTGAGAAATCTTTTGCGAAATGTACAATCAGGGGGTTGGTTCGAAAACTCAAAAAGGGGGTTCGGGGTAGGAGCAGGAGGTTGCCAGGGGTCGCTGAGGCGCAACGACCTTTCCCAGTTTCAGGGGGTTTTCTTTGCCATTGCAGCTGTTGTTTTTGCTTGAGCGAAAGATTTTCCTTAAGACACCCCGAAAAACATAAAAACAAAAAAAACAGTCTTGGTTGTGTGCAACGCGTGTGAAAGTTCTGCAGTTCCTTAGTGTTTTATACATTCCTGGCCACGCTTCAGCCATTTTGTCGAATTTTATCTGGCTTTTCGGGTAGCAGATTTGCGATCTAGCTGCGTCGCAAAAGAAACTCGTCCTTGGGTGGGGGGAATGTGGCAGAAGCGTGTGCTAGGGGGATCTAGGGGAGAAAACAGGCCTGGCTCTCACGCACAGCCTGTGCCAACAAAAGAAGTTTGCCAAAGAAATTACAGTTCCTGCGAAGCGAGCTAAATGTCGTAAATTGTGGATTTATTCCCAAACAGTAGGCATCGTAAAAAAAATTATATATTTTGGCATAAACTCGTATTGAGAGGGAAACCAGAATGGGCACAAAGGCGAATCTCCAATGGCTCAGTTGCAAATCATTCGTGATCCATTAGGATATTTAAAAAAAATATTTAGGTATGAAAAGTTGTACTTATTAAAATTTCTGGTTTACCGTTTGTACCAAAAATACACTTAATACACTTTACCTAATGACAAAACTTTTAACTAGATTGTCAAGCAAGTTAGTTAAAATATTTCATTAGATTATCAAAAAAGTATTGGTATATATATTTTATTCACTATTATAGCTTAGTTTTTAAATTATACTCAAAAAATTAATAAGTGTTCTAAATTTAAAATTAAATTAGCTATACAAAAATTTTTGCGGGCTTGTTAAATACAATGCCTAATAATAATACCAATATTAGTTTAATTCAATTTTATTTCTGGGACTCTTGCCAATTATTTGTTTTATTGACAACGGTTTCTGATTTTTGTTAAATTACCGAGCTCTATAAAATTACTGTCTTCACATCCAGACAGACCTTGAGCTGTCCTAGTTCTTGGTTTTCATCGTTAATGTCTCTAAGTACTTACGGCTTAATGGTCGGCCAAGTCAATGTAAACAAATTCAGTGACCTTGATGGGAGCGCTAATGGCTTTATAGTGCACTCCCACTCCCACTACATGTTAATAATATGGGATGCAATGGCCTCGGCACAAGGTTACATTTTATGATTTGGCAAATTTCCAGTGAGGGAGTTCCTTTTAAGGGCTCGAAAGGATGCGATGCGCAAAGTTGACGGCAGAACTGCTTGCGAGGAAGGACTGCGGCTCAAAAGGATGCAAGAAAGGATAACTTTATGGGCCGCTCGTAAAGACCGTTTGAACACTGGACAATATGAGCAATGGGTGATTATTTGTTTTGGTCACAATAAAGACGGCGGGTGGCAAGGATAATGCAAGGATATCCTTCTGCATCCTCAAGCCATTAGCACGACAATTAGCGGCTTGTACAACGGGACATTCGGCGGATGGAAGGGCTATGCCAAATTTCCAGGAAGTCTGGGGCCTTTTTACGTCTATTCCTGCATATTTTTTAGTTTTGCGTAAAAAAGTGCAGCTAGATTTGCGTAAAAAACGTTTGCCAAAAACACAGTCAGTTTGAGTTCCAGAAATTTTTAAAAAAAAAGGCTTTGTCCGGTTATGAGGTAATATTTTGTTATTCACCAGGGTTCTAGGAAGTCCAGAAATTGTTTTCGCGTTTTTTTTATTTTGATAAAAAAAAGTGACCCTACATTTGCGTAAAAAACGTTGGTCGTAACCAGAAAGTCAATCTTAATTCCGGGAATCTGTAAAAAAGGTTGTGTCCGGTTATGTTATGTAAGTTTGTCCGAAATTTCCTAACAAAAATGGTCGATGGTTCTTGGAAAACGACAAATCGTTCCTTTTTCCGATAAAATGCATTTGAGTGACAGCCGCAATCATAAAAAAATCACCCGATAAGCCAACAAAATTTCTTATCAAAATAACTGGGGGAATAATAAATTGCCGATAATTGTAAATCTCACCCAAAAAATTCCAGGGCGAACCCGTTAAACTAATTTTCCCAGCCTTCTAATTCATCCCCATATCGAGCACACACAAAAATGGGAACAAAACAATAAAAAATTGAGGAATTTCTCAGCGCAAAATTCTGAAGGATCAGCAAGGATTCTTGTGTGCTACACTAATCGTTTATTTTGATCAACGAGCTGAATCAATAAAAACCAAACGAAATGAAACGAAAACGAAGCGCCTACTTCAGGACATGTCATCGTCCTGTTCCCATTCGGGTTCCCATTCTCGATCCCATGGCAACCTGTTTCACAGGGTTGGATGTCCTTTTGTGTGTGCGTTGGAGTGTTGCCGTTGCCGGCCGTGAGAATTCAATGCACGGAGGGGCACGGCAAATAGGGGTAACAGGTTCAGGTCCTGGCCCTGGCCATACTGCACATACATGCACAGGTATGCAAAAGTCAAATTTGTTTGCTATGGGAATTTGTCGAAGGTGTCTGGCTTGGGAAAGTCTTTGAGTGCGAGTTTGTGCGTTGTGCGGTGGGAATTCGCTCAGCTCCTTTTGTTTGGTGTGAATTTGATGGAAACTCGGAAAATTGTGGGCGGCGAGTGGATGAGAGATCAGGAAGAGTTAGGGGAATGATTTAAAGCGGTTCCCAAGGAATACTTCTTGGCAAATAAATGGTTGGCTTGAAAATATTTCAGTAAAAAGGCCATGCAACTTCAGTTACAGTTTTTTTTTTTTTAATAAATAAGGGCTTGTGCCCTTAGTTTTTTTGCAAATTTACCTAAGTAATATTCATTTACGTTGGTAACACAAATGTAATGCTTTGAAGTGTGATTTAAATTTTATCTTAAGCTTATAAAATAAAAAGAAAACAGTTTTTTCTCATATTTTTGTAAATACAAAACAACATATTTAATAAGGACAAAAAATAAAGTAAACTGAATTGATGTTTTTAAAAAAAAACATCGAAGTTCTTTCTTTAAAAGCCATATTTTGCGCCTTTAAAAGGAACAGACAAATTTATATGTATCTTACATTGGCATTTAAATTTAAACAATAAATATATCACTAAATATATAATAAAAAAACTGTTTTAAAATTACGACACTTTATTTTCTAAATACTATACATTACAATAAATAGGGCTGCCAAATGAAGGTTTCTCCATTTAATTTTTCCAATTTTATTTGATCAACTTCAAACTTTAAATAAATATAAAATTTTTTAAAGTTTTAAATTTTTCACATACAATGCTTTTTTTTATAAAATATAAATTTATCTAAGCATAAAGGCAAACATAAACATAATTGAAATGAGGACTTAAACTTAACTTGGACTTAAAATATTTCTTTAAACACTCAAACTATACATAAATTCTAATTTAATTTCGTTTGTCAGGGCCAAATGTTTCCGATTTCTGCTAATTTCCTGTGCCCGCCCCAGGCCGTCGTTTTGAGACATTTCACACAAATTTCGTGCACTTCCTTCCGGTGAGCGGAAGAAAAGGAGCGCATAAGGGCAACCAGCACGCAGAAAGGATATTCTCGGGCCAGACAATAAATAGAAATCTAAATTGCAAAATATGGGCCACGGCCTGTGGGAACCAATTTGATGTGGGCCCACCCTCGCATCATCGATAAGATCGTTGGCCAAAGGAGGTGCTGAGAAAATCTCGTTTGTTGTGGCAGGACAGAGGGTTCCTTTGTTCGCCTGGGAGAAACATTTTGCTTGTTTGCGCTCGAAAACAGGTTAACAGGTATTTAGCCCAGAGATCAGTCAGGATTAGGGCGACGGGTGATGATGTGATTCGAGATCTCGAGTGGGTGGTCAGTTATCATATGGAATCCATTGGCATTGAAATGGGACATGTTCGCTGTCCCATAAATCAGAGAACGACTGAAAATCGTTCGTATTTCACTTGCATTCCAGTACAAGCAATTAGGCTAAGGACTCTGAGAAAAGGGATATTGAAAAAACAAGACAGAAAACCAACTAATGAAATGAAATAAAATAAAATGAAATGGTAATTTGATACGCGCACACTTATGGAGTGCGTTTCTCAAGGACTCGCAGGTAGTCCTGTTGCCATGGAGAGTCCTTTGTCTGAGCTCACATTGGCGCATCGAATGGCAATGCAAGCAAACAGATCTTTGGCCCCGAAGATCGATCGTTATTCTTGGGGGAGCGTTAATTAGATTTGCACCGAGAGCAGCGGTCCTGATCAAAGGCTCAGTGGTCAGTGGAAACTCTGGAAAAATCACAGACACACACCTGTGGGAAAGGACCCCACGCAGCCAGGACTACATGCACTTGCACACATCTCTCTCCCCAGGACGTTCCATTGACTGACCTTTCCTTTTCCATTTAATTTCCATTGTTATTTGCAGTTCCTTTTATTAATTTGAAGTGCCCGCACTTCATGCAACTGTTGCGCTTGGCTTCATTTCTTCCTTCCGGAAGGATCTCTCTCCTTTGGGCTACTATTGTGCTGGCCCGGCACTTCCTGTGGGTCACTTGGAACCCTGTGGCCAAAACAATCTATTGTTAATTAATTGCGCTGGTCAAGCAAAACGCCTGGCAAGAGGAAGCGGCGGTGGATGAAATGCAACCAGGTAATCATTAAAGGAGTAGCGGATATATGTGTGATTGTACCATGTATCATAAGGTGGTGTGGTGGGAATAAACTTCTAAACTGTCATTACTCAAAAACTATACAAAGTATTTAAAACAATAATGTGATTTAAGAAAATATTAAAAATAAGCTAATATTATTGCTATAAAATACAAAAAAGTTAAATTATTTCATTATTATTAAGTTAAAAATTAATATGTAGACATTTATTTTACATCTTGTTACACAAATTGCTGGCGCCATCTAGCGTTAATCGACAATACCTGCTTTCTACTTACGTTTCTTACATCGTTTAAGGGCGCCATCTGTGTGTCAGATTGAAGTTCTTCAGTTCACTGCTAGATGCCGCCCAGAAATAATTCTATTCTGATTTATTAGTTTAAAACTTTATGAACAAAATTTAAATTATTAACAATTTATTTTTCTTACAATTAAAGTAAACTTTTATAAACAATTTGGAAAGGTCGCCAAAACCAACTATACAATTCGATAAATGTTTTATTGTGTCAGTTTTAATATTTAATTCCGTTTTCAAACTGAACATTTAGCAAATATAGCAACTCTTTTTATAATGTTTAAGAACGTATTTTGAATAACTTTTTGTTTGAAGAAATGTCGGTAGGCTAATGCTCCTATCGTATTGAGCTGTGTTGAGTTCATCATTTTTTTTTGAAGCCCTGCGGAATGAAGACAAATTATTATTGTATATATAACCTTAGCAGGAATCTATTATTTGCTAATTGAAATGATAAATAGAAAACTTAATTTGTTGAAAAACTTTCATTACATGTTAAATTTTTAAAATATTATGCATTGGTTTACCTTGTATGGACTTAGTGCTCCTATAAATTTTATCCTTCAAATGGTCACATATTTTTATCCGCTCCCTTCGCCGGAAGACCCTTTCATGGGTGCAGCAACCTCCACTGGCATGTGTCATCATCCCACTGCGCAAAGAGAAGTCCTACAACTGTCGCTTTTTGCGGTGACCCCCCCGTGGAACTCACCCCCCTCTCCCATCCCCTCTTTGCTGCTCCTTCGAAATTCATTTTAATTCGTTTTTATTTCTTTTTAATTTTTATTACATTTTCGTATATTAGCTTTGACTTTGCTTTAGTTGTATCCACTTTGAATTATTTGCTGTTTGTTTTCCCCGCTCGCTCCACTCCACGGGGCTAAAAATGAAAAAAAAAGGGAAGTGGAAAGCAAGGTTCTGCTTTTTTTTATCCCCAGCATTGTTCCATGTGGACTTCTGAACTGGGTGGAGAATGGACGATGTCTAGGACCCAGCAGCTCTGGTCGTCGGTCTCCGGGTCGGGTTTTGTAGTTATTGTCCAACGTTGACTGTTTACGCCGAATGCTCTGCGCCACGTCGCAATCCGCGGAGTAGGAAATTAAAAATGGCGAAATAAAGTTAAATTTTTTATGGCTTGTGCAAATAAGTCACATCCAGTCGTCCAGTGGGTTGGCGAGAAAAATCCCGGCCAGGCAGCCGATGGGCCCCGCGTGTAGCTCATCGCTTGTTAAGCAAGAAAATAATATTAGCATTAAGCGTTTGTCTCTGCGCCTCTGACAGACACGGCGCCATCCGTCGTCCCTCCCAAAAGTCTTTTACTTTTTTCTGATATTTATTTTACAAAATGGGCGACAAACTTGCCCGGCTTCGACTTCATTTTTTTTTCGCTTATCCTGGTCTTGTAGTTTGTGTGCTCTCCTCTTTTTTGCTCATGTGGAGCACATCCAATTAAGCAGCTCTGGCAGTGGTCTAAAAAATGAGTTCGGTTGGGAGTGGTTGGGTGGTGCGGCTGGTGCGAAGTTTTTGACTTTAAAGAGATCTCGGGCAACCGGAATTAATGGCTGTATGATAGGTTTATAGGCGCCATGATACACAATTGCAAGTTAGGCAACTCCATTAAAATTGCAAGGAATGATTTATTCGAAACATCGCATTTTCGTATTTATTGCATTTTCACCCTTTAATGATTTGTATTTATTTATAATACTTTAACATGCATAAATAAGAATAACATAATTTTAAATGTCGACAAACATAGCATTCTTAGCTTTTACGTAATGAGGAGCATCCAAATGTTGTGGAAAAGAACAAACAGTTCATGAAAACTTCAAAAAGTGTAAATTTCTCTAAAAACGGTTCATAAATTATTTAATGTGAAATGATTTTAATTTCGTTTCAATATATTAAATTTATTTGAGATTACACGAGTCTCCGATTCATTTAAGACCTACCCCAACTGGTTGCCTCACAGTTCTATTTATGGTCACTTCCTCCTACAAGTTTTATAGAGTTACACATTTAAAAACCAGTTTTTGATTGACACACTTGCACTTTCTTTCAATTAGCCGCATAAGACGATCGTGTGCCGGCTGCTGACTTCTCTTTTCGGCGGTAACAATTTTGGGATTTCTTCGAGACCCTAATTAACTCGTATTTAAGGCAGGAACAGGGCGTGGGTGCTGAAAAGAGGTGTTGAGAGACTCGTATGGAGATGTAGGCAGATCGCGTGCTGGCTCGCCTGATAGCAACACCATTCTTAAGAGGCTTTCGTCGGCGGAGCTGGCTCAGTACCGCCCTAGACGCTGTCGCGATCGTGATGGACGTGTGGACTTGGCTGCTGCTCCTAAATCTTTTGAGAGTGAACGTTGCCAAGGGCCTTTACGATCAGTGCAACCACCAGGTGAAGCTGCAATCGGGCCAGAAACTGCTCATCAACTCGCCCTATTACCCGGCTCTCTATCCCAGAGGCACTTCCTGTCGTTATGCGGTGGAGGCTCCCAAGGATCAGGTGCTGCAATTCAAATGCGAGCTCCAACTGCAGACGGTGAGGATATGAAGTGAAAACTAAACAGTGATGCCAGTAAACCTGTTTCAAATCAATCAAAAGGTGTGTCCTATTTTCAATCGTAAGCCGGAAAAAATGTTAAAAATTCCCTTGCCAGAATTTCCGTTCTTTTTGATTCAAAGAAAAAAAACGAATACATTTTCAAGCATAAAGAGTTACAAAAAAATAATACTTAAAATTATTTGAATTTCGATTTAAACTAATTTTTTAAATAATATTAAAGTTTTCAATTCGTTAAAAGCTGTACACTTCGCCAGAGTTAAGAAGTTTAGAATTTTAAAAGTCAAAGTGGCATCACTGTGGGTCTTCATCAACAAATGCCATTTTGCATAGCTCGTTCTTCCGCAGCTTTCCACGGATTTGAAATGCCGCACGGAGGTGTTCCACTTCAATTCCGAAGGCGACGAGGTGTTAACAAGTTCGGAATACTTTTGTGGCAGCGGAAAATTCGAGCGCAAAAGTTTTCTCAATCGTGCGGTGATTTCGTACATATCCAATGGACATTCGGAGCCGCCCTCCGCCGTCAAGTTAAAGGATAAACTCACGGCGGGCGCAACTACTAGCACAACTACGCATGCACCACAAGGTGTTTCCATAGAGGAACAGGACGCTGAAGAGGCTGAGGTGGAGCCTGGGTTGCCGGAGGAGTCGGAGGACCCAGAGGAATCCGAGGAGGACCTAAGCGACGAGGTGCTGCACGTGCTGCAGGATGTGGGCGTCAGCGATGCCTTGGCCTATGTGGCCTCCTTACTTTACGATGACGAAGAGGCCAGAAAGTCCAGAACTACGACTATTTACCTCGACGCATTGCCAATTCGCAGCAGTTCAAAGACTTCCGGAAAACGTGCCCGGATTGTTACCACCTACCCCCTCGCACCGTCCACTCGCCAGGGAGGAGGACGCTTCACCTGCCTCGTCGAGGCCATTCAGCCCACGTGCAGCTGCGGCTGGAGCCGCATTCCCCGGATAGCCAGTCCCACCAACGAGGAGGCAGTCCTGCACGAGTTCCCGCCCATGGCCGGTGTGCTGACCAAGAAGCACGGAAAACTCTTCTGCGGCGCTGCCATCAGTAAGTAAACTCGAGACAATATCGGGGAACGGGTCTTGGAATCAACTATATGCGTCGAACTAAGGCTGAGCAAGCTAAGGTTCAAATTCAATGAAAATTGTTCATTATAAAGCAACAAAAACCATTCCAAATCTAAAAAAAAACCAGTGCTAAGACTTGGTATAAATTTACAAGGATTTTTTTGGCTTAAAACAAAAGACCACCAGCTTGAAGAAATTTAAAACTTAATTTTGCATTTTTTTTTTGTAAAAGTATAAGTATTTTTAAGGGCATTGCATTAATTTTTGCATTTGTCGCCATGTTTATGATAATTGACAATTGGTTTATTTATTGTGAGCATTTGTTTTCATAATCTAACGTGCATATTCCAAACAAAAATGAAAAACAATTTATTTATTTCTTAGTTTAGCGGTCTGTTACTTCCAAATGTCACATGTAAATTTAAATCGATTTCACACCATTAATTTATTTAGAACCTTATATTTAACTACAAAAGAGTTTTAGTAAAGTCGAAGGATTAATTACCTAATATATGTTTGCTTGGTTGAAAAAATTATACTTTCAAGTTACTAAAATCAACATGGATTGTTGTTTGATGAAGAGATTTTTAGAAAAACTGAGTTTTGATAAATCAAACTACAAAAGTTTTAAAATTTTGTTTAGTTTATTGTGTTATATATTTTTTTGGACGCTGTTTACTCAAAAAGAAACAAAAGAGTTATGGAAGTTTATACATAAAATTGACATGAAAAACACTTTAAAGAAAAATAGTACCATATAAAAAATGTTGAGTGTCATTTTCTGAATCATGGTTGGATTTCTGGAGGATTTCATCGATTTAAATTTGTAAGCCAGTGTAATAATACTCATTCTTTTTTCCTTTTACTTGTTTCCCAGTCCATCACCACTACTTGCTGTCGGCTGCGCACTGTTTTCTTGGCCCGGAGACGAGCAGTGCCGCCCAACTGCGTGTGGTGGTGGGCGAGCACGACTTGGCCAGTGCCTATGAGACGTTCGCCACCCGTCGCTACGACCTTGTGGCCCTGATCCTGCACGAGGCGTTCAGCCAGGCGAGCGACGGACAGCCGAGGAACGACATCGCCCTGCTAAAGACACGTTCGCCGATCATGTGGAGCATGAATGTGGGTCCTGCCTGCCTGCCACTGCAGCCGACGGAGGATGGCCGAAAACTTCCACTGGCCGGTCACCAGGTGGTCGCCGCCGGATGGGGCACCACTTCGTATGGCGGACCACAGACCCACCGCCTGCTGAAGGCCACATTGGACGTGATCGATGGGCAGCGGTGCCGGCAGACCTTGCTCTCCGCCGGCGGAGTACCGCCGCACACCTTTTGCACCTACACTCCGGGCCGGGACACCTGCCAATACGACTCGGGCGGGGCTCTCTACGAGCGGATCCATGGACGGCTGGTGGCCGTGGGCATCGTCAGTTTTGGCCAGGCCTGCGCCACCCAACAGCCGTCGGTCAACACGCGAGTCGCCTCCTTCATCAAGTGGATTCGGACCAAAAGCCCCGAGGTGGCCTATTGTCCTGGCCGGATATAAGACCAGCAACTACTCTGATTTATGTACAGTATTTATAGTAAGGCTAAGAAAGTCGTCCAAAGTTAATCGAAAAGCGTTTTTGATTAATGGGACATGGGGATTGTAAAAGCTGGTTAGCCATTGTTAATACAACAAATAAGATTATCGGAATGGTTTTTGAATACCTCATTAAAAGGCCGCTTAAAAAAATTAAGCTCTCATATGAAGTCATTCTTTGTAATACGAATCAGTTAGTAAAACAATTAAAGATCAGGTTTAGAAACTTTAACGGTTTTTGGCAACTTCATAATGTGAAATAGCCCATCATTTTAAAGAAATATTTCTTTTGTTAAATTTTTTTTTTTATTTTGTTTTGTTTAGTTATTTTTAGATACAAAATGAGTGGTATTTTTATTGATGATCATGTTTGATTACTATTAATGATAAACATTTTTGGTATAAAATTCATAAGCCTAATTTTAATTCGACTCATTTTTTGATGTCATTGTCCACTTCTTTCGGTATAATTTTTTTTTTTGGAATAGCTGTATTTACCATTGTTTAAATTGTATATATTTGTGAAATGAAACCCTTAAGCCTGATTTGAAAATGACTCAACCTTCTTTAAAACTTTTTTTACCGGTAGCCTCGTTCTTAATTCTTTTTAGAAACATAATGAATTACGTTTTCCAACGAAAGTCTATCTATAGGTAATCTCCACCTCCGATTTCAGCGTGTGGAGCCACTCAACAACACCCGCAAGTGGGTGTCAAGTTTGTCGCGCTGCCTGAACGCGCTTGTGAGGAATATATCAGCACCAGCAGATGGATGGATGGGATGTACCCACCACTCGACTGTCAATCATGCATGCGAATGGGAACGCCTGGCTGGAGCTCTATGTCCTCCGCCTGAGGCATTGCAACTAAGCGCAAATGTCAACTAATTAACCTCTGGTGCGGCGATTGCAAACGGCAATCGGCAATCGTCAAGCTATAACCCTTCATTCAGCCAGAGGGCCTGTCAATAAAATTCTTTTCAACTGCTTTATTTTGTACATACACAGCCAGAATCTTCCTTTCATATAAATAATTAAACGTTTCGCATAACAGATGAAGCTCGCTTTTAGGCTTAAAGGCAATACGTATCTCGTCTGGCGGCTGCGTTTTCTTTTTACTCCCTTTTCTGGAGGACCTGTTTGGTCTTTTTGTCTAACCCGGCACTGGCGTTGCACTTTTTCAATGCTCTAGCTCCACCCTCGCCGAGTTTTTTGTACATCCGCATATCCGCATATCCGCTGTCTAGCTAAGCTCGCCTGCATTCCGGAGTTGTTGCAATGTATTGGCCGTGTTTGTTTTGCAGTTTGTTTTACAGTTTTGCAGTTTTTGGCTACCCGGTGCCGGTGCCTTGCAAGCCTGTTGTTCAATTTACGTAAAACGCGGCCAGAACAGAGAAAAACCAACGTCAACTGCAGTCGGTATCAAGTGTTGCCTGGGATTGGCGGCTCCGCATAGAAATGGGTGGTGGTGGTGCTGTGGTGCATGGCGGGTATTTTAGGGGCGGGGGTGGTTGCTGTACTCTGGTGGCACTAATTGAAAAGCAGCAGCCACTAACAGCAGTCGTCGCTAAAAGGACTGCCAAGGGATTGGGTTTAGAGACCAATGCTAGTGGCGAGCTACAGTAAAAATGTAATAACTTTGATTAATCCGGATGTAAAACCGTATTTTCTAGTTCTCATCACAAAAAATTGCCTTTGAATATCAAATTCTATTCTATACAGTACAGTTTTGCAAAGTATTTTTTTTAGGTGTATGAATGACTAACTATCCTTGCAAATCTTTAAAATCCCTGTTACACTATACAAATATTTATAAAAAACAACTTTTAAGCGAATAGCAGAACGAAATGTTGGAATTTGGTTAAAAAATAGTATAGCTAAATTTACACACTTTGATACTTGTTTAGATAGTGGGATCAATATTAAAGTGTCGTCTTAAATTTGAAGACAATCTGAAACGTTGTTTTATGCCAATATTCAAAGCAGTACCGATATGTTAAATAGACAATGTAAGTTTCAACAATCTAATCCTTATAACTGAACTAAATGGTTTTTACGGCAATTTCTTTTGAATTTTGTAGTCGTAGAGCTTAAATTTATTTTATTTTATTTTATTTTATAGTTATTGTCATTAAATGTTTCTTATCCTTGTGACAGGTACTATTTTCTTATGTGGACTTAAAAAATTGTATACTTGATTTATTCGGCGGTTATCCACTGTACGAAGAAAGCCAATGCGCACATCACTTTTTACTTGGTGTTTTTTTTCTGGCAATTTCCTTTGCATACTTTTGTGCTGCATTTGATTACAAAATGGCGCCGCTGTCCTGGCTCCTGACTACTACTGACTGCTCCTGCAGGACCTGCAACAGGAGTCGTTGCAGTCGTAATGCAGCCTAAACATTGCGTTTAGTTTTCGTTTTGCCTGCCGCTACAACAGCTGCAATCGCCTGGACTTTGACTATTCATTAGCGTGTGTGCGAGTGTGTGAGTGTGTGTATCTGTGCTGCAGGATGAGGGCCAAAAAACTCTAACAAGCTCAAAAAGCAATTTGCGAGGGGCCCGCTAAAAAATCGGCAAAAATATCGACGTGCCGGCTCATGCAATTGACGTTTTGCGGGTGTGTGCGAGTAGGAGTTGGATTTTCGGGGACTAGGGATTGGGGCCTGTAACATAAAACCACGCGTTGCACAAAAGCCGCCAAATCGTCGTCGCTCAAAAGCCCCAGCAATGAAAATACAAAATGGCCGACCTATATGCAATTCCAACCTGTTCCCTCAAACTATTTCGACCTTATAGTTTCCCAGAAAGTTGGGATCTCTTTTTATTATGATTGTTTTCAGAAGCAATTCCTTGTATTTACTAAAACCCAGCCATCCAAAATGGCATTCAATTTAGGGAGAAAACGTTTTTCGGAACTGCTTTACAAATATTTTGCTAACCCTCAAAAATAAATTCGGGTTGTGGTCAGAAATTAGTACATATAGACGTTTTTTTTTAACACGTTCCTCCTGTACACACGACTGGGCCAATTAAATCCGTTTACATCAGAAAAATCGAATATGTAAACACAGTTTAATTCTCGGCTCGTAACCAAAATCAAAAAGTATTAGCCTTACCGTGTTTAAGCTTTTATTCTTTAAATAATGTTAAACTACTTTTTTTATAAATAAAATAAGGATGCTAGAAACTTAAATATTCAACGAATTTTAAGAAAGTTCAATCCTTGATTTTTCAACATATAATTTGTTGAAATTTGGGCTTTGTTAGAATTTTAAATATAACTAAGTAGACACTTTTAATAAAATCAAAGATACTATTTCATTTTTCGGCTTTGATAAAATTTTAACAAACATTTAAAGTATACGTGGTACCTCGAACCCTTAGTCAAAATGTCTTTGGGTCGAACTCTTGGTGGCTTAATCCTGACTGGTGTTCCCGGGAGTAGGAGCTTGCATCAGAGGAGGATGCGTCGACCATTTCCTGTGGTTCCGGATGCCAGGCTTAACACCCCAGCACAGTCATCGCGACCACCTCGTATTCTGGTCAAGAGTTACCTGGCCCTACAGCAACTGGACTCGCAATATATGCAGGATGCTCCTCGCGATCTAAGGAACTTCTTTATGACAAAATGGAAAAATGTATAGTCTCAATGATTTAAATATATAATTTAAGGCTTTTAAAAGGCTCATAAACTAATTAGTTCTTAATACTTTTGTGCAATTGATGAAATGGAGTATGGATACAGGGAAATTTCTCAGAATATTAACCTATATCGTAACGATATAGGATATAGGACTTAAGTGCAAAATTTATCAATGTTAGATATAGCATTAAATTTCGATTTATAAAAAAAAGTAGGCCCGCTGAATACATTCAAATAACGACTACATTATGAAAAACTTGATTTACTTTCGTCGGTTAGCCTAAATTTAAGAAGTAGTCTTCGAGCACCGGAAACTTAACCTCCTATCGCAAAATGTTCCTGGGTCGGGCTTTGATCGGATTCCCGATTTTTAAAACGGAGACGCGGTTGCAGCAAAGGCGCCGAATGTCGGAGCAAAGGCTCCCCAATCACCGCAGACCCGTGCCCGTGAAGCTGCAGGAGCGGAAGGACTCGTGGACCGACCTGAAGAGACCGCCATTTCTGCTGGTCAAGAGCTTCCTGAACCTGCGCCACATGGACACCGACTATGGGAATGACATCATGCGAGTTACGGACGAGCTAAGTTTCCAGCCACACCGCACTCTCTTTATCAATATCCTGCAATTGCCGCATCGTCGACTTTCGGAAAATTCGGATAGTTTTGCGGAGATGATATTTAAACATCCATCAGATTCGGACCCGGCTCCCGAGTCGTGAGTGTGGATTTAAGTGTACAACCGAAATTATTTTTTTTTTGTTTTTAAGTTTTATAAATAAATGGCTATCATATTTGGAATCTCTTATTGTTAGACATGGAAACGAATTTAAATTAAAATGGTATAAAAACCCTATAGCGTCAGGACGGTGATGATAAGTAAATCAAGTGGCGGTATCAGACGGATGCTAAACATACCAAACAAATTGTACCACGAAGAGATTAAACAATAAATTTAATTAATGTTTTTTCAAAAACCTTATTAAAAGTCTTTTAAACCTTTTTTTACAATCGGCATACCGACTATAAATTTATTTCTAAGTTTTTCAAATACTGGAAAAGAGGGTGCCAGACATTCCAACTTTTGACCATTATATCACTAAGTTTTGATACAAAAACCAAGTTTTTATGACATTCCACATTTTGACCATTATTTCCCAGGGGTTTGACACAATAACCAAGTTTTTAATGTGCTTTTTTTGGGATTTTTGGCGATTTTTCAATCAAAATTATTTTTGAAGAGTCTTTTTGTTGTTACTTTGCCAAAATAAGACACATAGTCAAAAAAGTTGCTTTTTTGCACAGCTGGCAACCTATACCATCCATCTCTGATCGTTCGAAAACAATTAATTTTGTTTTGACACAAAAACAGAATTTAGAAAATCGTTTTTTAATAAATGTATTTTTGGCAAAATTTCTGACTTTTCTGACTTCGGCTTGTCGAAGTTTGTTTTCTTTCTTGTTTTATTGAGAATGAAATGTGAAGAATAGACAAGCTAAAATTTGTTTCCATTTATTTTTTTCTATTTACCGGTTGTTCCCCTGGGAGCTATGTGATAATGTCTTCTTCACTGCGTTAAAAAGCTTTCCCATAATCGAAACAAATTATAATACCGGTAAATAAGTAATGTATTTATTATATTGATTATCAAATTTTGGGTAATTCGGCGGGCGATTGAGATTGATCCGTGTATAACGGTGGTAATTGCTTGACTAGGCTCTATCTTTCTGATTATTAAATAGATGCCGGTTATTTGTCAACAAGACATTTCCGAATGAAGGCCAACCGAACTGGAGTCCAATTGGTCCAAGCCATGTCTAGATATCGTAGGTCCCGTAAACCATTCGTCGTCGAAAATCCGCCCAGCGGTAGCGGGGATTATTGAAGCGAATGGTTTTCATCTGGTCCTGAGCCTGATCCTGGTGCTTCTGGAAATTTTTCACATAGCACCGCGGAGCGTGATGGTACTCCGGATTGGGCTCGTCCCGCCGACGGTACTCATCGGTCCTGGTGGGGTACTCCACGCCCTGGCTGCGTCGTGTCGAAAAGGAGATTCGTCCGGTCATTCGACACGCGGTGTGGCGGTACGCCAGTCGGACAAAAGTCGATAGGGTCGACAGGCTCGCATTGGTCGGCAGCATCTTGAAAGGTCTGAAAAATTCGTTTTAATTTGGTCCAGACGTCTCCGATTTTGGTGCGCCAACGGTTCTTTGGTAAGGTAGCGATTACCTGGCTTAAGAGTTGGGCCGAAAGGAAAGAATATAAATTTATTGCTTATCTATAATACTTGTGTTCCTGTCAAGTGTGAGAAATGTAGGAAAAGTGAACCAAGTTAAATGGTGTAAGCGAAGGAATAGATGTTTGTTCCTCGGGTTACTAGCCAAAACAAATTATATAATTTATTTGGTTTTTTGTAGGACGGGTCCGAGATCCAATGATAATGTTGAAAATGAAAAACACAATTTCAATTTAGCGCGGAGTCTCGTACTGTAACTATCACGTTAAGCGGTGCAGACTAAAGACACTTAATAAGACAAAACTTAAAATTATGTGAATGTCGACTGATATATTTTAACTTAATTCATTTCCATAAATAAGTAATTGATAGAAAGGTACAATACAATTTTTTAAGAGATTGACGTATAATATGGTGGTGCAATGGTAAGTGTATATTCTTAAATGAAAGTACATTAACAAAATAAAATAAACTCAAATTCTTACTGTATATATTAATTAAGAATTGGATTTATTTCAAAAGAAATATTTTAATTTAATTTCCCATAAGCTAAGTTTTATTTACTGAAAGTCGTCCCGCTTATTATTTTAATGTGAGGCAAGAAGTTTAAATAAGATATATTTTTGACTATTTATACTTCTGCATTTATTTTAAGCTTTTCCCACTTGTCCGTTAACCATTTGCCGAACTGCACGCACTCGAGACCAAAGCACAAAACATAATTAAACAATTAAAAAGCCTTTTGGCACTTGTCCTTACTTAGCCCAATTCACAGGGCGGCACATCAAAGCCGTAAAAAGAGTTGTGCGCCTAATTACGCCGCCAAGTGCAGTGGATGGAAGAGCAAAATGCAAATTTGCAACAAGGCAATAAAAATATACGTCAAAATTAACTGGAAACAATGAGAGCGAGTGGCAGAAATCACAGCATTTGCGGGGCAAGTTAATTGTGCAACTTTGAAGAGAAGGGCAGGACTCCAACAGGAAAACACCGAAAAAAATCGAGCTTAGAAAAATACCCTATGGGCAATTCAAAATGTCCAAATGCTTATTAAATATCTAATTTGTAACAAGAAAAATAATACAAAAAAGGAATTTGTGTTTAACATTTGGCCACGAATATGGTAGCAAACTCACTTATTATTTTTTCTGAGTGTCGGCTAGTAGGACAGTGCTTTGAATGAGAAGTGGCTGGACCCTCGGCAGTCTAGTCCCGGACTGTAATCCTTGCTGCTCGGCATTTTTTGTGCCCCCATTGCCCATTGATTTTTTCTATATTATAAAATTTATGCTACCCGCTCTGCTTTGTTGCACTCTTGTGCCTCTGCCACCACCATCATTCCAAGCACTTCATTTTCTGCCTTTGCTTTTTATAGTCACTTTTTTATTTTTACAATTTTTTCCAAGCGCTTCGAAGCTTTTGTTGTCGAGTGCGCGCCAGTGGCACCCGAGCCAAAAGAATAGGGCTTGACAATAAAAATTATGAAGCATATTACTTGAGTGCACTTGGGTTCCTCTTTCCATTCTTTCCCTTTTGCAACTTTTTCACCCAGCTCTTGTTTGTATTTCCTCAGATCACAAGGATGCGCAGGTATGCCAAAGTATGTCGCTAGTTTTTGGAGAGCAAACTTGCGTGTTAAGTAGCAAAAAGGGTTAAGAATACTTGGGATAATAATAAACTGGACTGTGGGAAGGAAATGGTGAATAGGTCTAAGAGTTTTTGAATCTGGTTAGCAAACTGTTGTACATTGTTCCTTAAGCATATTTAAATACAAAGAACATTATATATGCTTTTAATTTCTTATGAACAAGCTATCCCCTCATCTTTCGGTTAAATTAAATCCTTTATTTGTTACCTTATGTAATTTTATTTGCAGCATTTAACTTTGCAATTTGTGTCAAGTGATGCTTTATGGCTTAAAAAGTCTTTTATTATGATTTGTTTTTATAAATCATATCAAAAGAAAACACTTTTTATACCTCAAAGCGTCCAGAACAAAACTGAATCAAGTAGACTATTTTTGGCCATGTTCGGTAACTCCAAAATTTTGAGGCTAGTGCGTGTTTAGTAACTGCCGTAGATCATCTTTCTGCGGAACTCCGACCAGTAGTAGGTGTCGGAAAAGCAACTTCGCTGCCTCTTGCAAAACTGCCGGAAGTACTCCTTGCACCTTCGTTGCCTTTCCCCTGGGGATATTCCACATTGTGGCTTGGAATGTAACTCGAGATCCAATTTAAACGGCAGTTCTGATTTGTTAAAATAAACAAGGGGAATAGTGCGTCGCAGCTCGGGATGGACAAACACTCCGGGTTCCTGGCAGATCTTCGGCCGCGTCTGATATCCCCTAATAAGCGATTTTGCCTCCCTGGGAAGTCTTTTTAGAATTTGGAACATTTTTTAAAATTTTCAGGAGCTCTGATTTGTTTGTAAAATAGGGTTTTGCATCCCAAAAGCATTTGCGAAGTTTGAAGTTAAGGCTACTGGGCTCAAGTACATACGAAACAATTTTGGGTAAATTTGGTATATTATAAAAATCGCTTAAATATTTATTGTCTTATTGTAAAGCCCACTTGTTTTTGCTTGATAAATTATAACACAACATATAATTTGGAAGACTAAATTTATTTGTCCTTTCTTGAAATAAGCGAGCCCCTACATACAATGGAAAAGGTGAATTCAGTTGGGGAAAACGAAAACCTGCGATTTCCGAAGAGAGAGATGCCCATCGGGATCTGGTTGGTTTTAGTAGCTCGATCGACCGAAGATCATGCTGTGCCGGAACTCCGCCCAGCGATTGCGATGGCTGCGATAGGAGTTGTACGGCGAGATGACCTTCCGGGAGATGGAGGCTCGATTCGGATCGTCGAACGGCTTCGTGGCGACGACCACCCGCTTAAGTAGCTCCTGGTCGGCAAGGGCTCGTTCCCGTTCCTCCTCCGTATTGTCCTCCGGCGGACCGAAGACGGTCTCCCGAACGGATCTGATCTCCAGATCCGATTCGTAGTCATAGTCTTCCTCCGCCTTGGCCTTCGTTTGGCCATCGTCATCCTGCTGCTGCTGCTGCTGCTGCTCCATCGACTGCTTCGCCTCCCAGTTCTGCTGCTCCGACATGTAGGCATCGGTGTCGTTATAGTAGGATTTATAGTTCCGCCTCTTGGCCGCGTTCTGGGCGGCAACCACATTGTTGCGCCGTGGCACACACTCATCCGGCTTGGTCACGGGCCGAAACATGGCAGAGTCCAGCCGGGCGACACTGTTGCTCCACTGGCGGCTCTGTTGCTTCTGCCGAAGGAGCTGGGCGGCCGCATAGCTCTCCTCTCGCAACGGCCAATCCTTGTACCAGGAGCCCCCGATCGCACCTTGTTGACCCTTCTCCAGACCCGCCGAAATGGTGGTCAGTGGGCGGTGACTGCGTTTGGCCAAATGGCGCATCGATTGTAGGTTCCTCGGAAATACGGGCATCTCTTACTCTCACTTTCTTCTGGGTTCGCCAAAAAAATTTCGAATTAAACGGCTAATTTTTAAATGGTTTGAAATTGGCCAGGAAAAAGGGATCCACAAAAATTTTTAAAATGGATAAAAGTAAGGCGCTCGGTCAGAACAAATTTCGGTTGTATTTTGGGGAAAACTAGTTCGAAAATAAAAAAATCTTACAAGTCGTGTGTTGATGTACTCGTAAAGAAACTGACACTAAATACACAAGTTTGCTGTGCTTGGCCAAATTTAATTTTCGATTTCTGCCCCCGAAACAGATAGACCAGCAAAAAATGAATAAGTGTGCTGCAAAAACAAATAACATAATTTATTTACGGCCACAAGGAATTCAATTTGATTGAGACTTGAGACTTTCGGGTAAATTAAACAACAAAGCCAAAATGAAAATCATAGACCAAAAACACAATTTGCCATCGTCACATGAACATTTATTAATTTTGCATCAGCTGCAGTGGTGCGAGGTCCTTTGGTGGCCCGATAAGTCCTGGGCCGAATTTAACGCAATTTCCAAATGGAAACAGCAACAACAACTGCAAGACTTGAAATTGAGTTAGTACACAATTACAACAACAATTATGAGTGAAGCCGGCAATTTTACAATAAATACCAAAAATATACAAGAAAAGAAAACTATCTTATGGTCGAACTTTGCACACTTTTTTCTTCTTTAAAGGTAAATAAATTGTAAGAGTCAAAGAAAAAACCTTACTTTTAAATTCTTTCAAAATAATTTTCTTTTTAATTATATAATGACTAAAATTAGAAAACACTCTGTTTTAACAATTGTAGCTTAATCAAACAATTTTATGAGCATTTGAAATATCAGAAATACCTTCTTCCGGATAGTGTATTTGGTAAAACTTTATTGCGTACAAAGAACTATGCCTGGCGGTCTTTGATGGCCAGCGGGGTATGATTGGTTAGTGCGGGGCTGCAGAGCTTGTGCGTTGTTTAAATGTAGGCAGAAACATGTCACTGCTTTTTAATTTAAATGCAAATTAAGGCCTTTGTCAACACTTTGCCAAACTCAAGACAACGAAGACAAATGCCTGAGGCAACTGCAAGGAGGTCGGTTAAGGAATGACTCTGTGCAAAATATAAGTTTAAAGTATGCGTGTGCATGGGTAATAAAAAATTGTATTTCCATGAAACATATCAAAACCTTAATAATAACAAAAATTATAAAACAGTCTAAGAATGTATATAATTTTAATTTGTACAACATTTTTAATGCAATTTTTGTTTTAATCATTTATTTAAAATAAACTAAATTTTTAAAAAATCTATTACCAGTTATGATGTTCATTAGGCTGTAAATATTTGGTTTGTGTTTTTGGCGTATATTATTTCAGTTCAAGAGATTGTCGTATGCTTCAACGTAAGATATTTGAAAAATTTAACAATTGTGTAACTCAGATATATGAAAAAAAATTGTTTTTGATGCAGTAAAATATGAAAAAGTGTTTGAAATCCATGAAACCCCGTACTATTTGTAAGACTACATTAAATGCCCTCTGTGTATGTACATAATCATTCAACTGATGGACATTCTTAACGCACACACACATTACCGCCCACAAAGCGCCACATCCAATTGAGGTGCGATGTGACCCGAGTGTTAACCCCAATGCCAAAAGGTTGACCGCAGGGGCGGCCAAAACTGATCACGCCCAGCTGGAACATCCGCTCCCGCTGACGCAGGATCACTGGGCCACCGGAATCGTATTGGCAGGAGTCCTGGCCCCTGCCTCCGGAATCGTAGGTGCACATCTGGCTGGGAGTTATGCTAAAGTTGGACCGACTTCGGCAAACGGCATTATCCATGGTCAGTAGGGTTGCCTTTTGCAGGGTGTTCGATTTGGGGGCGGCAAAGCCCAATGTTCCCCATCCCAAGATATCCACATTCTGGTAATTAAAGTTGCTCTCTCTAATGGAAAGTTGCATCAAATGATTCTGTGTTATTTCAGTTTACAAGATCTGAACTTACGCTTGTCGAATGGGAAGGCAAATGGGCGCCACTCCTCGAGACCATTCCATGGGGGTTACCGTCTGGAGCAGAGCTAAATCGTTTATATTGCCAGATGCGGTTTCCATGTAGTCAGGATGGTTAAAGATATTTTGGATGCGATGTTGGGCGGCATAGATCGATTCACTACCTAGAAAATATATTAAGTTGTAAAATATAGAATTATACTGTTCAAAGTTCGCTAATGTCTTCTTCATTGCGTTGCAGACTTTTGACTGAAATTATAATACTCTCTGCAAATAACTTACCAGTGCTTAAATCATGCTCCCCCACCAACGCCAATAGGCGACTGGCCACCGGTTGGCGTGCGGTACAGTGGGCAGCGGTCATGATGTACCGGTCGCTGACAATGGTCCCACCGCAGAAGATGGGCAGGTTGGAGGCCAAGTCCCGGATGCCCACCATCGAGGGAAACTCGTGTTTGCCCGCCTCCACTCCGTTGGCAATCCTCGTCGGAAAGGACCAGCCGCAGTCGCAGGGCGCCGGACGGGCCACCGCTTGGCAGTTGAGTCTGGAGCGCTGCTGGGTCTGCGGACTGCTCGAATAGTAGGCAAAGGCCATGCTCTGGAAGTTGGATATTCGATTGACCTGCCCCATGCGGCAGTAGCGCTCGCCATCCCGAAACTGCAGGTCGCCATCACGGGAGACGAACAGGAACTCCGAGCCACAGGTGTCGGGAAACTATACAGAAGAAGAATTTAATGATATTATCATTATACAAAATTGAATTACTTACTGAGAATTACCTAATTACACCTAATCATAACCATTAAAGTACATTAAACAGTACTTACCAACTCAAAGCGACAATTTAAATAGATCACATGATTGCGGGGGGCTTTCAAGCGAAATCGGCAGTTAGTCCCACTTGGTATTGCTCCGGGATAATTAAAACTGGTTATATTAATTGCTCGATTTGGCTGCAGGTCATAAAATCTGGTGCACTGTTGTTGACCATAAACTAAACTTATTAATAAAAGCACAAGAAGTCCCGAAAACTTCTGTTCGTACATGATGGAAATGTAGCTATTGCGGCAGTAAGCACGATGAAGCTGCGGCGCAGCTTATATAGCACCACTCCAATTGATAAGGAAAAATATTTCTTGTTTATTTGAGAATTAAAAATATTTGAGAAAGACAAAATGGATATTAATGTCAAGGTAAGAAGCAAATACAAATGACCTTCTTTTGTAATGCACTCAGAGAAATATGTTAAGGTAAAGATAAAAAAAAATAAATATTGTCTAAAGTTGTAACATAGTATTTCACTTATGTAAATATATTACGACATAGTTATTCACGGTATATATAATTATTATTTTATGTTATTGTTTTTATTTTTGTTTGTATTAATATTTACATTTACAAATTTATTTGTTGTAATGATATTTTAAATATTAATTTGTTAATTGTAATCAAATTTTATTTTGATTGTTCTTGAATTAAAAAATCAAATGCATTTATTATAAAAAGTCCTAAAACATTGTTAAAGTAAGCAATCACATCTTAATGAATTAGGTTTTCCAAATACGTTTTATTTAATTACATGCGTTCCATACGTTTTATTCAATTACATGCTGACCACACAGTTTGAATTTCCAATCTTTTGGCGTATCCAACTTATATACGATGTTATCCTCGCATTAACACCCATTGGATATTGAGTTCCAGCACAGCTCTTGCCAAAACTAATTACTCCGACCAAAAACTGCTTGGATTTGCGCAAAATGACTGGGCCACCGGAATCGAACTGGCAGGAGTCGCGTCCCGTGCCCGAATAATCGTAGGTGCACATTTCGCCAGTGTATATGGTGGCTTCTTTGTATTCGGTTTGGCACTCCTGATTGCTGACCACAATTAAATTGATCTTCTGCAGACTTGACGATGTGGGTCCGGCAAAGAAGATCGTTCCATAGCCGATCACATCGACGGTTTCATAGGTGAACGCAGAGGTCCTAACCGAAGCATCTTTTTGATATATACGATTTTTGCTTATAACACTTTCACTTACGTTCCAACAGGCGGCAAACAGATGGGACCTACACCGCGGGACCAGAGAATATTGGTGGCGGTTACCAAAACCGCAATATCGTTGTTCACATTGGGTTCAGAAACATAAAGTTCATGGGGTATCATATCTTGTATACTGTATTGCCTGTAGTACCTGGAATTGGCAGCTTGAAAAGGTCGGTTTAAGTGGGGTTAGAATATAATAATATAAATATAGGATTATTTTAAAAAATGTATTATAGGTTATTTCAAAATAAAACCTGTTTAAGAATTAAATTGTTTTATATGCACTTACGATTTTTCAGATCATTGATTCCAACAATAGCAACAATATCGGTAGCTTTTGTCACCTGATAAATACAATGGGCAGCAGTCACGATATAACGATGGGCCACTAAAATTATTAAATTAAGAAAAACATTTAGCAAAAATAAAACTTGCTTCCGGTTTGCCTTTAAAGATTAATTTGTAATCTTTAATGTTTTATAATAAAGACCAAGGCCTAAAGAAATTAAAAGAAAATAAAAATCGCTTCCGGTTTTGACATTAAAAATGAATCCTTAATGTTTATCCTAATTAAATCATAAGTTTTAATATATTCGTTGTGTGTATAAACTTGTATATTTTAATAATTTAGCTTACTCACCTATGGTTCCTCCGCAGAAGGATGCTTGATTCTTGGTCACATCCTTGAGGGCCACCATGCTGGGAAATTCGTTGGCCGCCGCCTGCTGACCATTGGCAATCCGCGAAGTGGCCGACCAGCCGCAGTTGCAGTTCTGTTTGGTGGTGGTCAAGGTGCACTTAAAGTTTCCCCCACTTGTGCCGGTGGAGATGTAGGCGAAAACCAATTCCGTGAAGAGGGACTCACGAGAGAAGGATCCAGAGCCACAGAAATTTTCAGCACCGCGCATCAGAAGATCGCCTTCTGTGTCCATCCAAAAGTTATCCGTGGTGCATGAGCCACTGTTCTGAGAGGGGGAAAAAGGATTGTAAGTTTTTTCCATTATAAAAACCATATATCATGGTAATGTCCCACCGAAGGCAGTGCTATAGTGCATTGCACTTGAATGTTGTAATCCACGGGGGCGTTGAATTTGTACCGACAGGATGTTCCGCCAGGATAATTATTGGGATAGTAGGGCGACTCCACGTAGGTGGTTCCCGGGCTCAGGTTGTAGGTGTTATCACAGCCCTCGAAGTAGGCCAAAACAGTGGGGGCCAGCAGCACAAACGAGATTAGAAAGCGACTAAACATTTTGGCCATACCTTTCGGCTACAAAGCCAGCACTCAACTGAGCTAACTCGATAATGCCACCCACACCTAATATCAGCCAAGACAACTATAGCTAAAGCTAAAGCTAAAGCTAAAGCTAAAGCTAAAGCTAAAGCTAAAGCTAAAGCTAGAGCTAATTAAATAAATAAAAGGCCGCGTTCCAGCAAAAGATAAAACATTTGGAATTGCCATTAAGTATACGCCACGTCTGTAAATGATTTTGCCCCCAGTCTGCAGCTGTGCAAATAAATTAATATAACACTTTCATAACCTTGTCAAATGCATACGATAGTGCCTTTGAACTTGGCTAATACTGCCTTGACGTTTTCCATTTCCTTGATAAGAACCAATGCATTTGCTGGTTAGCGTTCTTGTTGTTATACTATGTTTTTGAGCCCACATCGTTTAGGGTTATCCAACAGCTGTGCGCCTGGTGATAAGTTAAAGTCGTAGGTAAATAAACATTTTCTGAATAATGAGCTCTAATTATTAAGCAAACAAAAGCGAATTTACTGAAAGGCGTCAACGTTCGAAGATCTGGTCAAACAGATTAAAAGTGAATTTATTTCTTCCCGGTGCTACTGTCTGTTTTGGTATAAACGATAAGATAAAACAGAAACAGGAACGAAGCTTATCAACTAGGCCTACTTTTTCGGCAACTTGAATCTTAATAAAAATATATTTAAAATATGAAATATTTTATTTTTTTTGTAGTTTAAAAAAATGTTGTTTTATTTATGGATGATCCAATTTTACATCAAATTTTAAAGTTTTAAATTGAAAGGAAAACACAGAGTATTTTATATAACAAAATTGTAGCCTTGTTCCAGATTCAATGTTGTTTGGCTTATGCAAACACTTGGTTTAATTTGCAGATTTTTATTCTGATACAAAACAAATAGCTAACCATAGGATTATTTGTACTTGGTGAGGGGAGTGTAAATATTTGTTGATATTAAATTATGTTTTACGCTTATGTAAATTTGCATAGCCATAAAAGTAGCATGCGGAAACTTTAAGTGTTAAAAAAATTTAAAATGCTAAAAAACACAATGGTAAATCAGTTAGCTAACATTAAAATGACGCTAAAAATCAATTACGAAAATTGCCAAAAAGGGCAAAGCCGTAATGTCTGACAAGGTGCAGCTAAATGTCGATGAAAATCAAGCAATCTGTCTATCAAAAATTGACTTTATGCAAAAATATCCATCAAAAACATACATATACATAATAAAAAGCGCCCAAAAGCATGCTGCAGTTTTGTCACAGGACGCTCCGAGCTGTGTAATTATAATATGGAAACAAAATGCTCCTTTTTTTCGGCCACAGCACTTTTGTTACTCCACCCAGAGACTGCAAGCCCACACTAATTTTCCAAAACTCGTACATAGCGATCCAATGTCTATATTTTCTAGTGTCACACATTTTTTGCACCATTTTTTGTATGTGCGTTTTTTTTTCATTGTGGTACAATTTTTTCGCCGTGCATTTGCATTTTCCACTAATTTGACTTTTGTATTGTTGTGGTCGCTCCTGCCTCACCCCTACATCCAGTTTATGTGTTAGAGTTTTTTCTGCTCCTTTTGGCTTTCCACCAATCGCATTCCCTCTGCCACATCTCTGTATATGTGTGTGTGACTGCGCGTGGGTATTGGTGGGTGGGTCTGCGCTACGCACTTTTTGACTTTTCGTTGGGGAAAATGCGTTTTCATGCATTGGTTGGCTGTCGAGTGGGATCCATCGGGGATGGGTCGGACGGCTTTGGGTTGGGTATTTGGCACAACCTCTCCCCATATGGCCCCGTCTATGTCTCTCTTTTCGTTAGTTGGAGTGCATTTTCCCAGAGCTTGTCATTTGACGTGGCTGAGACTCTGTGGCCATATCATTAATTGCCGTTAGCTGGTAAACGGAACTAGGCATGAAAAGGCTCCGAACACACACAAATTAGTGGGCAACATGAATTGCGTAAAGGGTTATAAAGAAAAAATGTTATAGCCGGAATGGGGGAAATAGTATATGCTGCAAATTGGCAGATGGAAATTGTATTGATTTGGCAAATTGCCAGGTTCCACGATGACACTCAATTTCAAACATAAATACAAATAATTGAATTATAAACTAAAAGACAGAGTTTAAGTTCCATCTTACTTGTTGAATTATAATTTAACATTTAGAAATTTATTTCTAATCATTTATGTTGCCCTATGACAAAACTATATAGAGAACAAGATCCCAAATAAAATTTAATTGGATTAGTTAAGAGTAGAAAAGCTCTTAAAAATTAAGCTACAGATTTTTATATACCATGAGCTCCTGAAAAACAAAAACAAATTAAATCGATTAAAGCTATTGATTAATATATTTTAAGCGTTATTGCTTAAGAACTACAATTTTCTTCCTTTCTGGAATGAGTTTAATCTCCTTAATATCGTATAAGTGACATTTTAATTAAATACATTTGAATTATACTTAAAAATTAAATTTATATAGCAGGTAAGCAAATGTTATAACATGCCCTGAGTTATTTAATTTTTGTTAGCGGCTTTTAAATGCAAAAAATGAATATATTTTTGTTTATAGAAAGTTTACAATGACCACAATAAACCAAAAATGAATAAGGGGTTAACAGTAATTGTTGTTTCCTGGCCAATAATCCGGCAGAATTGGTGCATACATCAAAAATGGATCCTTTTACCATCTGTGCATCCTCTGCCTTCTCTAAAACTCTCTAAAATTCACTTACAGTCCATATAGTCAGAACGGAAAGCACATTCAATTTGCTGCACCTTCAATCACAATAAATCCATACAAATTTCCGCTTTTTTTTCTTTAGGGCGCTTTTCAAATGCAAACTAAGCAAATTTTAATTAATGAAAAATTGCAATTAAAAAACGGCCATGGCTTTCTTGCCACCGCCAACTATCTCCCTCTGGCAAGTACAGTTTTCCATTTCCACGTCAGATAAAAAATGGCCAAAGGAAAAGAGCAAGCAATCCGCAGGCAAACAAAAACACAAAACTGGTGTGCCCAGTAAATGCATAAAAAAACAAAACGCACCGAGAGCAAGTACATACATATGGGGTATATATGGGGAGAGGGGGGAGCTTTTTTTCTTTTTATTTCGGGGTATGCATCTAAGCAAAGCTCTGCCGCTGCCAGCGTCGCCGATTAACATAAACACGCAAAAAACATTAACAGAGCCTCATTTTTTTTGTTGTATTTTCCCAGCCTCAGCCTCGGCTTCGGCCAACGGCAACGCAGTTAGAAAAGCCAAGAAAAAAAAATAACAAATGTCGGTGGGATAAAACTAAGGCAGAGGCAAAAAAAGATATTTCATACATAGATAACGCGGCGTATGTGTAATGTGCGAATGGGACGCAAGCTGGCGAACGGCGCTGGCTGCCTCTCATTCTGGCATTCGCTCATTACACTCATTTCGCATAGTTTGGGGCTGGCGCATAGGCAATTTTCCATTTTCCGCACACACACACACCGCTGCAGCACCCAAACCCAATCACAAAAACGCGTTAATAAGAGGAAAACGTGGCGCAAAAAACTACACACAGACACCGACATGCGGATACATAGAGGGAAAGAGCGTTTTTCCCCCGGCAGCTGGCTCGGCCAATCGCAAAATTTGTTTACGAATTGGGCGGCAAAAGCAACAGAAAGAAACACTTGGGGAAAAAGAAAAATGCTCACCGCATGCTCTCCCATTTTCCGCTCTCTCCTTCGCGCTCTCCCTCTCGCGGCACAGTTTTTATTTTTCTTTCGAAAGCCACGTGCTGAGAAACGCTCTCTTAAGCGTTGCGCTCTCTTTGCTTCGTTGAGTTTTTCACCAGCCATGAGGAGGGGTGGGAAGGGCGGTGGAAAACCCAAGGGGCGGCGGATGCCGGAAGAAGTGGGGTGGGACGTACTCGCTTTGGTTGGCTGGCAAACTGGTTTCTGTCGATTGACGTTTTAGTTAATATGGTCAACAAATTTTAATTGAATGCTCCATGTTTGTAAATGTTTGATGAATCAATGCACGGGAAAGCGAGAAATGGCAAACGGCTCAACCCAATTTTATTGGATAACTTTTTATTTATCCACCAATCCATTTAGACTTAAATATATTTTCAAATTACAATTTTCGGTAAACAGAAAAAGATTTCCCCCAAAAAAGGTGATTCTGCAGTTGAAATGCTACAGCCGATAACAGTTGGTTAAATTTACCAATGTTCCTGAAACTAACAATAAATTCGACTAAAAGTTACAACTGACAAAAAAAGTTTGGTTGCCAATAAATATAGTAAGCTTTAGCAGTAAAATAGGTTAAAGCGTCAGTTAAGAATTTTAATTTTACAAGGCGGAGAATTAATAATCAGAACTGATGCTACTAAAACAGAGGCAATTTTTTAGCCTTGCTGCGCAAATATTTGCTTTCTGTAGTTATTGGTAAGGTGGGTATTTAAAAACATTGCTTTGTCGATTGATATAGCGGCAACTACTAACTATATATTTTTTTATCATATTTTACGAGTAATTAATTTTGTTTTTTTTTATAGTAATTAGTTCCTTTATGCCTGTTTCTTGCTTAAAATTAAATTTTTTATAAAAATCATTAACCTTTTTTTATTGCTTTAAGAATCTAATTTTACAAATTTGTTTTCTTGAAGGCACACACAACTACATTAATTAATCTTATACATATGTAATTTTTGTCATCATACCTCCATTTTTCTGGAAAAATTTCCTTTTGTCTTTAGTTATAAGAAATGTAACTGTTTTTTAAACAAGATAAGTTAAATGGAAGTGCCCTAATAATACAAAATTATGAGAAACGCTTCTTCCATTACTCAAACACTTTACGACCATCATTAACCCAGAAAAACAGCACGGTAAAATAGCCCGGAAAGCCCCTAAAGAATTTTTCTATTAGCCAACAATCGATTACGTACCTTATGACCTGCGTGCCGGGCTGTAAGCAGATATTACTCAGTCCAGGGTTAGGTGAATAGTATTTTTGGGATTAGAAGACAAGGCAAATGGAAGAACGGAGCAAA